AGTTTATATAGATTTCACATTGTCAAACTAACAAATGCTTATATATTTATCAGTTACTAATCATCCGTGACTATTTTTCCATCATTTTATACGAGATATTCTAATTTTCATTATGATTTAATCTTATACATTCATCCAATGGTTATATATTTTATATTGTATTCTATATCAATCTATTAACTTTTATTGTAAGACTTACTAATCTATTTCTTTACCATGTCTTTTTATCTAACCATTGACAAAATAAATCCCATATCATATAAATTTGTTTATCTTCTTGTTCTCTAATTTCAAATGTCAATTTACTCATTTCAGCACAATCCATAATTTTCTTAGTAACTTCCTCCTGCATAGGTATTTTATCATTTTTCCAATTCTTAGCAAATACAATTCTAGCCGCTGTTAAAACATTTACAATCAAATATTTCAGCTCTTTGTTGTATATTTCCAGTATAATTCCCAATAAAAAGATCTCTGGTTTAAAATCTATATGTTGTTTTATAATTCTTTCCAACCATGTGTGGATTTTAGTCCAATATCTTTTTGCATCTGAGCATGTCCACCACATATGGTAATATGAACCAGGTATCTGATGACATTTCCAGCATTTATCCGATTTATTCTGAAACATTCTCTCAAGTCTCGTTGGGGGTAGGTGCCACCTGTAAAACATCTTATACAAATTTTCTTTATATGCAGTTGACATTGTCATTTTATAATTTTGAGACCACAATTTTTGCCATTTTTCCAAATCAATCCCATATCCAATTCCGTCCTCCCCCCAAGCAATCATCATTTCTTTAACTTGTTCCTCCTCCAATTTAAATTCTAATACATGTCCATAAAGTTTTTTAATTATCTTTTCATCAGTACCCATCAAAATTTTATCTAAATTAGTCAACTTATCATAAATACCTTGTTTTAAAATCTTTATCAAATCTAGATTGCATTTGCAAATATGAAAACCAATTCATTTTATACCTTGTTCTTCCAACATAACAAATGTGGCGAGAAAAGTCGTAAATTTAAGTTCAACCTTTTCATTCAATATCTCACCATATCTGTTTGTTCCTTTTTATATATTATTGGATAAGAAAAAGCTTCAATGGTAGATAACCATAATGGAATTTTTAAGTAGTATTGTCTTTTTACCTTCTCAAACTCGATTTCATTGCGGGCCACATCAGGGTTGTGTTTGATCTTGGGGGTGCGGTGGGTGCAGCCAGCTTGATGTCACTCGTGTCGGGGGCGTCCGTGGTGACTCAAGTGCTCTGCCCGCGAAAATGGGCTCCAGAGTTCCATTTTCAGCTACAACGGCCTCCTGCCGCCCTCTGCCAGTGAAAATGGCGCTCAGGGGTGCAGGGCGCACACACCTCCTCCAAGCTCTATTTTTACTGGCAGAGGGTGGTGGGAGGCCGTCGCAGCTGAAAATGGAGCCTGGGAGGGCCACATGTAGCCCTCCCAAGCTCCGTTTTTGCTGGCAGAGGCACCACGGCAGTGGTGGGATTCAATTTTTTTTACTACTGGTGGGTGTGGCTTGGTGGGCGTGGCAGGGGAAGGATATTTTAAAATCTCTAGTCAGAGGCGGTATTTGCCGGTTCTCCAAACTACTCAAAATTTCCGCTACTGGTTTTCCAGAACTGGACAGAACCTGAATACCACCTTCTACACCACGGGCCGGTCCTTTGCTGTTTCTAGGGCGGCCCCATGGGCCAGATCTAAGTACTCCACAGGCCGGATCTGAATTTGACACCCCTGTTCTAGGGAATCAGTGAGATTGTGATGTAGATCCACTGCTGCTGTTGACATCTATGGTACTGTCCCCTAGGCCTTGTGAATTTATTTTTTTAAATAATGACTTTTATTATTTGTTTACCATTTCAGCCCCTATCATTGTCAAATATGAAGGCCATGAAGATAACTTTCATGTTTATTATCTCTTTAAATGACGCTAACCCCATAACCAAAATTCAGGTGACCAAATATAAAGTCAAATATCAAATACCAAGCTATACAACTATGCAAAACTTTTAATTAGGTATATTTTTATAGTCCTATTATTTTTTCTCTTCCCCAATACACTATTTCGCTTTTTACTGCATTATTTGACTGTAAAAGCTGGTCAAAAGCTGTAATAATGATACTTGGTTTGATTTGATTTGATTTGATTTAATATTTTATTACTAAATTGCATGCAGCTCAGACCCACTTTTGGGAAGATGGTCACTTTTGTATTTACTTGAAATACAAATAAATGAATTAATATGTAAAAGTAGTGTATGTTGAAAATTATGGCAATTGTTTTATTTTACATCCTGTCATAATGATACACCTAATTCATTCCTGGCCACTTTGATAATGTTGTCAGAAAAATGCTCATCTAAAGGGAAAAAACAAAGCATTTGGAGGCCGAATCAACAAATACTTCATTGGAATATCACTGGGTCCAGCTGACCTATTAAAACCACACTCTGTGTAGGATTACCAAATACTTGGATGGGCAAAGGATGACACACACATTGTTAAATTTTCCTAGCATCCACAACAAAAATTACAGGAAAGACTAAACAAACAAAAAAAATCCTTCTTAGTTTGTATTTTGTTTACACATTTAATTTTTGAAGTTTTTTTTCTGTAAGATTAAAATACAGTTTTGTTATAAAAAAAATAAAGATATTACACATTTTTAAAAAATACAGAAAAAAATGCAAACATGAATGACTTTCTCCAGCATCAGAAAGATTGATTTTTCAATCACAATGTTTTTCCAACAAATATTTACTTTTAAGAACATCGCTAGCAATAAGATAAAATTAGTATATATGAACTCAATATGAAATAGAATCTGGACTTGTACATAATTAAGATTAGAAAGAAAGAAAAAAGAACAAAACGTTCAGATGTGCCAATAGCAATACGGGTCTATGCTGGCCACATCAAGCCAGCAGTGTCAAGTCCTCCCATTTCCTAGCAATAATTAGTGGGGTTTTGTAAGGGTGAAGAACTGAGCGGATGAAGTGAGCTGTGTGCTTTCTCCCCTTCTGAAGCCAAAGTGAAGGGCAGATCTGTGTCTTTTCTGTAGCTGTTAGTGCAACTTTAAAATATATGGATGTACCAGGCTGAGACAAAGTTCATACATCTTAAGATACATAAATTAACATGAGAATATACAAACAAACAAACACTAAGCAATAACAATTTTAAAGCATCCAGAAAAACAGATATATACACGCTCCATTGTCCTAATCAAACGAGCGGGTTGCCTCCAAGATTACATTCAATTTTGCATTTTTAACTTCAGAAACGTTTCAGAGTTTTCTGTAATATTTCATGGCACAACATAATACTTCATTAACATGAACTGCACATTATGAAATACAGGTAGCCGTCTACTTATGACCACAACTGAGCCTAAAATTTATGTTGATAAATGAGAAATTTGTTAAGTGACATTTGTCCCATGCTATGACTTTTCTTGCCACATTTGTTATGTGAATCACTGCAGTTCTTAAATTAGTAATGTTGTTAAGCGAATCAAGTTTCAGAAGGTCACAACGGATGATACTGGGACACTGCAACTGTCATAAATGTGAATCAGTTGTCAAGCATTCAAATGTAAAATGCTGACTATGGGGGCAGGATGCTTCAGTGGTCATAAGTGTGAAAAATCATCATAAGTCACTTTTTTTTTCCAGTGCCGTTGTAACTTTGAACGGTCGCTAAAGGAACTGTTTTAAGTGGAAGGCCACCTGGATTCCTGCCCAGTGTAATTATTGTAGAGTCCTTCCTAGTTTTTCTCTTGAATGATTTATAGCGCCAGAGCTTCTGTCTCGCAGATCCACTTGGTCACAGCACTGCAAGATTCCGAGATGACTTTTGGGCCCTTCACCATCCCACAGCTGTTTCCTTGAGCCTCGGTTATGTTTGGCTTCCTGCGGGAGAAAAGAAAGCAAGAAAGATTGTCAAGGGGGGAAGAATTATTTTATTCTTGTTTGTAACTCCTTCTATTATAATATGTCTACGTACTGTCCTCGACGTACGACCACAATTGAGTCCAAAATTCCTGTTGCTAAGTGAGACGTTTGTTAAGTGAGTTTTGCCCCATTTTACGACCTTGCTTGCTTCGGTTGTTAAGTGAATTGCTGCAGTTGATAAGTTCATACTTATAACCATTGCCGTGTCCCATTTTTGTCCCGTGATCACCTTTTACGACCTTCCGACGAACAAAGGAAGCCAGATTCACTTAACAACTGGATTACTATCTCATCCAGGGATCCAGTGGTGATTCAGAAAAATTTCTACCAGTTCTGTGGGCGTGGCGTGGCTTGGTGGGCGTGACAGGGGAAGGATATACTGCAAAATCCCCATTCCCTCCCCACCCCACTAACCTACTTTCCAGCTCCGTTCTCCGGTGCAGGGCAACAAAAGAAGAACCAGCCGATCAGCTGGGACTCGGGAGGCAGAGAATAGATGGAGGTGGGGCCAGTCAGAGGTGGTATTTGCCGGTTCTCCGAACTACTCAAAATTTCTGCTTACCGGTTCTCCAGAACTGATCAGAACCTGCTGAATGCCACCTCTGCAGGGGTCCCCAAGCTCCAGGCTGTGGACCAGCACCAGACCATAGCATGCCAGAAACCGGGCCGCACAAACAAGCGAAGCCCCATCCATGAGATGCAGACAGCATGCAAAACCATGCCCCTCCAGTCCGTGGAAAAATGTATCTCCACGCAACCAGTCCCTGGTGCCCAAAATGTTTGGGGCCATTGGTCTAATCAACTGCAGTGATACACTTAACAACTGTGACAAGAGAGGTCGTAAAATGGGGCAAAACTCACTTAACAAATGTCTTGTGGTTGTAAGTCAAGAACTGTGGTCGTAAGAAATTGTGGTCGTAAGTCAAGAACTACCTGTAACTGGATTAGGTCCAAAACACTGGGAGAAGAATAGAGATATATATTTCCCAGCTCACATAATCATGGAATGCATGGAAATAACTCACTCTTTATTATTGTATGGGGAATTGTCCATCCACAACCATTTACGGGTCTTGGAATTTGCAGACAGTCCTATCCACAACATCTGTGCCCCATTGGTGACATGCTGGATGTAATGCTGTCAAGAATAAATATGTAAGTTATTTGTTTACTTAGTAGGGCATAACAGAATTCAGCATTAATAGAATAGAATAGAATAGAATAGAATAGAATAGAATAGAATAGAATAGAATAGAATAGAATAGAATAG